TGATGAGGGACAGTGAGAGTCTGAGTTGTGGGGGTCAGGGGGCAGTAATAGAGTGAGGGGCATGGGGGTGGGGAGGAGGAGGAGGGACAACTGCATGTAAGTGGGACCATTTTGTCAAGTAACAGATGTATGGCCTGACAATAGATTTGAGCACTTATCGATTTGTATTTTGTAACAGCTGAAGATACAGTTAGTTCAGGGTCTTAAAACCTACAGCAAAGGACTGGGCCAAAAGAAATGATATAATATTGTCCCCAATTTGTTGGTGTGGGGAACGTGCTGTGAATGTAGCTCCCACTGTAACAGTGTGATGACCAGGACAGTGTCTCACTTCTTTGATAATTCATGTCTAGTACTAAAATAACATTTCATTGTTAGTCATTGAGATTTGAAGCCAGGAATCAAATACTGTGTAATTCAAAGTCAAGGTGGTATTTGAAACACAAGACTTAAGTACAAATTCTTGTAAAACTGAAATAAAATCTCCATCTGATGTTTACTAACCCAAATGCGCTGTACCTGTTCTGCCTTGAGTTATGAGTCCTGAGCATTTTCTGTTCTACTGTCTTGTACCAACCTGCATGTTCCCTGGTCAGTACAGACTTTGAAGGAAGATCACATTTTAGTCCTGGTCTGGGAATGTATCCCACTTTCTGGAATGGGTTTCTTTGCATCTTGATCAGGTTTCAGAACAAACAAGGCAGTTTATTATCCATTATTCAACTTTTGTATCTGTTCCGCTCATGTCATCTAATGATAATGTTAAACCTAAGCACACACTTTTCTTCATCAGTACGTATGAAGAGGAGTAATGGATAATGATTGAGTGAGACCACTGGGGAATATGCTTTTTGTCCCCACTAGCAATATGCTTGCTACTTGGACTCACTCTGGCCAATAAGAACCCAGTCAGCCACTGTTTAACTGTTGCTTAGCTCCATTGGCTGTTACTTTCATGTGAAATTTAGCACCTCAGTGGTGGCTGATATAGAAATATTCTTTCATTCACTGATGGACTTGGTGCCAGTTCTCTAATGTTAGAGGATAGCTTATTTTGTTTGACGGCCTGTTTTTCAGGGACAAAGTTCCATTTTGAACTGTGGAAAATGTGACAGCTTTGACCAATGAATAAATTGAATGGTGAAATGTAGATTGTATCCAGAAGCATCCTTCTATTTTCATGATCATAGGTGTGAGGATGATGGGAGTTTCAGAAAATATACTGTTGAGCTGTTCTCTGCACTCTCTCCAATGGACTGATACCGAAGGGGCGTGGAATGCATTGCCGGTGAGGGTAGTGGAGGCGGCCTCATTAAGGGCATTTAAGCAGCTATTAGATAGGCATATGGATGATAGACCTTAGGTTTAGGGTGAAAGTTCAGCACAACATTGTGGGCTGAAGGGCCAGTACAGTGCTGTATTGTTCTATGTTCTATGAAAGGACATGAAACTGACAAGTAGCTGCAGCACCTACAGTCTGCCTTTGTTTGCTTTGTTCTGCAATTTGAACAGACTCCCACTATTCCCCTAGGAACAGGGCTTGTCATAAGCTCAAACAACTACATTCATTTATTGAAGAGAATGGATTCATTTCTGCAGTGAGATGGCACTACTGCTAGTGGGAGGGTGTATTTACAGCATGATACGCTTACAAAAGTAAATCCTATTTGAAACCAGGACCTGGAATTTAGAACGGGAGAGAAGTTGTCCCAAAAATAATACTAGATTTTATCAGAAACCTGCTCAGATGTGTTGTGACACACTTCTGGACCAGGTGGGACTTGAACCCTGGCCTTCTAGTCTATAGGTACGGGCACTATCACTGTGCCACAAGAGTCCTAGCCTACTCTCTCTATTCCTTTCTCTTTTACACAAAGATCATTATGGGCAGATCCTGTATGTATCAGGAAAAGGACACAAGCCCTGCCTCAGGCTCACGAGCCAAATATCCAACCTTGAACCTTGCCTCCTGGCTGCCCTCCCACCTTCCAGACTGAGTTAACATGAGATCATCTTAAGTTTCACTGCCTAACTTTCATCTGGTCCTGTTCATCCTCTGCTGAGTATGTACAAATTGTTCACACAGTGACTGGTACGTAAGATCTCGAATGCAGTGGACAAGAAGGTTGATGGAGGCAGTCTCAATCAAGACTTTCAAAAGGGAATTGTTGCTTTTTCAAATGCAGGATAACCATGCACAGGATTATAGGGAGATGATGAGTGAATGGCACGAGGTAAGCTGTTCAGTTGGAGAGTCAGTGCAGGTACCAATGAATCAAATGGAATCCTACAGCATAGCAATGCTGTGATTGTCCATATGTGGCAGCAGTTTGAAGGCAGCAAACAGCTTTGGATCACACTACCACCTGTGGAGGATTGTACTATTACAGCAGTAGAGCAGTTCACATTTTGTCTCTGCCTGAGATCAGGCATACACTACTCCAGAGGCCATCTAATTAATTTCACCGTACCCAAGCAAGCTGAGTGGAACAGAGTTCAAGACTGATCATTAATAGAAAGTGACAATAAATGCAAACCTTTCTTTCAACAATCTGAAACCTACCTCTAGAGAAACATTGCAAATCTAGAGAAGTTTTTTTTTTGGTTCCTGCAGAAATTGCTACCACAACTAATTCTATAAATAGGAAAAAAAAAATTGCCTTTGTGTGACTCAGACCCTATCAACATACTTTGCAGCCAATTAATTACTTTTGAAGTGAAATTGCAATGTAGAAAACACAACAGCCAATGCATACACAGAAAGCTCCCACAAAAAAAAATACAGTAACAAGCATATAATCTGCTTTGTGATGTTGTTTAGAAGAGAAATATTGGTCAGGACACCAGGAACTCACCCCCATTTAAGGTTACATCTATTTATGTCTTCCTATCCACCATTTGTTCTTTGTGCCAGAGGTTTTATGCTTTTGGAGGCTTGTAGGATTACTATTGAGGCATGGCAAAGTTTCAAGTCTGTGAAAATTTTACACTTGGGCCTCAATTAATTCCTGTAACTCTTGGTCATCTTTGTTAAAACGGTTCTGATGTTTTGTCATCAAGAAGCCAAGGACCTCTTTTCAGATGCTTGATCTTGTAAACTTTAAGGTTGACCAGAGACCATGGACAGTGTATAACCCCAGGTTTTTGGATGACAAGGACTGCCTCAGTAGGATCTTTGAGGTCCTTCATGTTAATTTCTTACAGTGTTACTTATGTAGCCTTTGATAGTTGGGAACTTTGTTGATGGCTACCAAATTGTTATACTGTGGGTCATGTAGATATTCCTGCGATTTCTAATTCAAATGTGAACAAAGTCAAATAAATGCCAGTGTTGCCCAAAAGTCTTGTGTTTGATCAACTGCTGGAACCAGGGTATTGGCAATGACCAGTCCGTGTTCTAACATTCAGTTAGGAGAACCAATACCTTGAAGTTTGCTTTCCCTTACACATTCCTCATCTACCCCTCCAGAGATACAGCTCTTTTCTGACTCTGTTTTCTGAGATTTCAATAGCAGTTTGCCACCTGAGACTAAGTCTAGAGATTGCTCAAGGTCAATGCAGAAACATTCCCTGCCCACCTGTGGCCTTGTGGTGGAGCAATCCCAAAGTGCTGATGATTTGGACTGCAATCACGAGTCAGTCATTCACTGAACTCGGGTGTTGGGGGGTGGGTGGGAATTACTGCACTGCCAGAGGAGCTCATTTTTATGGGAAAATCCCATACTTGGTACCTTCAATCTACTTTTGGAAAACTTCATTTTGACAAGTAGGCGTGCACAGACATCAATTTGTTTTAACAAAGAAAGATTTTTGCAAACTAATTGCCATACGGTCCAATAGCAAGTGGATTTCAAGATGACTGGAGACCAGGTTCTGCAATGATACATCAGCATAGACTGTGTAAGGTGACATACAGGTGTACAATGAACCCTTTTCAGGGAGGGCAATTCATTGCTACATCAACTGAACAGGCTGGGCTGAGGGCACCTAACATGTCAGACTAAACATTTCCCTTCACTCCCAGTGACCTCAGTTTTGTTTGATGTCACTTGTGTGAACACATTAAATGTTAGCTGAAGCTTCAATAACTAACGAACCTTGACAGATGACTGGACATTGTTGCATAGTCCACAATGTGTCAAATTTATCACAAAACAGCCCTATCTACCTGCGCAAATGGAATCCCAGAAGGAAGACAGTTATTAAAACTTTGTAAGTGATGTTTACATTGCTGCTTTGTTCAATGAGTACAGGAAGGTCAGGGCTAGGTACCAGGTGATGTATAAAATGAGACTTATTGGTCTATGGAGTGGTGACCAGTTGTTAACGATGAAGTTAAACAGAACCTGGAGAAGTGAAATTAATTAAAAGCAAGTACTGACAAATAAAAAGGATCATCTCAGCGAACCATAAACAGGGACTGCTGAACTGCCTTCCCAGCTTTTCCCTCCAACCATAACACCAATGTCCTTGTGTCTGTGTGTTTGTGTGTATACAGGTGGGGGAGGGGAAGAGAGTTATAATTGTTTATCTGTAGCTAAAATCCATTCATTTGTAATAAATTGTAATTGGTGTTCAGCACTGAAACATGGCCCATACTTTCTGTAAAGTTGGGTCTGAAAAGACAAGTAAATTGGGGAATTTTAAGTGCTCTGAGAAAAGTGGGACTTGTTTTCAGCATCAGTGAGACAGTGTCAACAAACAGGAGGCTGGAAGAACACAGCAAGCCAGGCAGCATCTGGAGGAAAGGAACAGTCAATGTTTTGGCTTTTGCCCTTCTTTAGGGCTGGATGTAGGAATAGGGGGAGCTGCAGATAAAGAGGAAGGGGGAGGGGTGGAGGCAGAGGCCGAATCCAGATGCTGCTTGGCTTGGTGTTCTTCCAGCCTCCTGTCTGTCTGTCTGCCTACCTTGGATTCCAGCATCTGCAGTTTTTTTTTGTCTCTGTTCAGTGAGACAATACTCACTTTTTGCAAAAAATTTTCAAATATTATTGCACTCATTAACAATTTAAAAAATCCTTTTAATGTTTTGTTTTAAAGTACAATATTTCTGTTCTGCTGTCCACATTCCTACGCTCATTAACAATTACACTCTGAGGGTAAAGTCACCAGAGTCCTACCAATACGATGTTCAGTAAAGTCTAGACATTCCCAAACTTCCACCACATGTCCCATTGTTTCTGAACATTGTAGCCTTAGACTGCAGTCTTCAACAGATTGAACAAGGAAGCTATTGCAGCTCTCTGTGGAATTACAAGTGAGCGTACAGAATAAGCCTTGATCTGGTGCACAGTTCAGCTTGTACGCATCAGCCAGTTGTGAAGAAAGATAAATCTAGACCAAACTCTTTGGAAATTCCTTCTAGCTTTCCCACATATAGTCAAACAGGGCAGGAAGCTTCAGAAAATGACAGTTTGTCACTACTGGTATACCTGCTTTCCAACGCTTCTGATATCTTCCACTTTTAGGAACTCAATTGGGTTTGGTTTTGAAGTTCCAAAAGGAAAACCACACGTGACATTTTATGACCAGTGATTCTCACTAACTCCAACATACCCCACCCGCTCCTTGCTTTGGCTCTACCAGTCACACTGACCTTTTCCAAGTCATCATGTGTATCATATACTGAGAAGCTGTTCTATTTAATAAACTGTTTTAGACATTATAGCTTGTAAACATTGCTCTGGTTTAAAGACAGGAATGAACTCTGAGGGTCGCCTTACCTTTCACAATGGCAACATTGGACAAGCTTTGGAAGTGGAATACAAACAGACTTGCCTAGATGGCACTCAAACTTGTGTAATTGCCAGATGTAAAGGTATTAGGCATTCATAACTGGAAACTGAATTATTTGCCTTGTTTGGAAGATAATTTGGCAGTTTGTCCAAATCACTTAACACTGTAGTAGACAAGCAAAGATGCCCAAAGTATAGAAAAGGCAGGGCAAGATGCCAAAAAACAAACAAACAAACAGCGAGAGAGAGAGATTTTTTGAAACATCTTTAGAGAAGGCCAAAGCTTCAATTCTGGGAGCAAGAAACAGTTGGAGGTCTGCTGTATTCACTTGGGCAGTAGATATGTTTCTTGCTTGCAGAACTAGAGAAGCAATAGCTCTCTATCACTTGTTCTGTTCCATCTACAAAGCTTACCTGTGAAAGAAACCTCCGGAAATTCAACTTTGAAAGCCATCACAGCTATTGATACAATTCTGTAATTCCAAGGCTTCACTTCAGACAATGCAATATTTCAACCTCAAAATACCAGCCCTGCATCGAATCACAGAAACAGAACTTGATTCACTATTTAGTGAGCATTACTTTCATCATCTGCAATTAGTATCCATGCAAGAGTGTGTGCAACAGCGAGGACATGGGTGTAAGAGCGAGGGCATGGATGTCAGCGAGAGTGCAGGTATGAAAGCGCGACAGCACAAAAAGGGAGGTGGTGCACAACTATAGAGTGCAGACATGACAGCAGGAGCATGGGTGAGTTTGTGACAGCCCGTGGGTTGTATCCACATTTCAGTTCATTTCCTTCCTTATCCTCCAACGAAAACATTCTTTTTAGCTCAAAACAATGAGGCATCTCTGATCCTGACTCCGTGAATTACCCAGTTTTGAAAACATTAGCATACTATTGTCAATATCAATCACAGCTTTCTACCTGAATAATTGATTCAGTGCCAATAGAGCATTTCTTCAAATATACTACACTCATTGACCAGGCTGTCCCCTCTAGGCCAACTTCTTTAGCTGCAAGGGGATACGACAACTGAGTTCTCTGGAAAAATATGAAGTGGAGATGCCAGTGTTGGACTGGGGTGGACAAGGTCAGAGGGCACCAGGTTATAGTTCAACAGGTTTATTTGAAATCACAAGCTTTTGGAGCACTGCCCCTTTGTCAGGTGAAGTGACGAAGGGGCAGCATTCCAAAAGCTTGAGAATTCAAATAAACCTGTTGAACTATAACCTGGTGTTGTCCAACTTCCGACCTATGGAAAAATAGTTTTTCGTCTGTAAGGTGGTGATACCCAAGATTTCTGCCAGCTTTCAAATAACTAAGTGGAAAATCCAAGCTGCAAATTTGGGACGATGAAGAGTATGCCTATGTGACTCCCTGCCTTATCTAACCTTACATATCCCTTCCTGCCAGACTGGCAATTGCCTACCACCCAACCCAAGTATAGTCAGGTCAGGTCAGGTCAGTTGCAAAGATTCTATACCTGACACGGCTGAGATCAGCAAAGTTAAGTCATTCAAATTGGGATATTCCTTTAGGATACATGGCTCAAAATCACATCAGTGTACTGTCAGGCAGAAGGAATAATGAGAGGATGGTGGAAAAGCTACTTACAACACACAAGTTAATTTTCTCACAAGCACGTCGCAAAAGATAAAAGTACACAGATTATTGACACAAGATTTTATACACGATCAGGGCTACTTCAACCCCCTCTTTACACATAACATCAAATACCCACAAGCTTATTGCTGCTTGCCAGGAACAATACATACACAATAGGGTCGAGATAAATTTCCAAATCAGATGTAAAATATCTGCACTCGTTTGTACCCACAGCCTGAATTTAACTATTTACTAAGTAACTAAGTACAAATATAAACAGAACAGGAAACAAATCTTACCATGAAGTATAGTTGAAAATATAAGTGCTCCTGTACCTAATTCCAAGCTGGGGTACAGTTTATATCTGGATCTAGAATTTGCTACATTAATCATCATCATTGAATCATAGCTGTGGAATTGTTTAGTACTAAGGGATTTTCTGTCAAAATTCCCACTGACCAAAGCAATTAGAATATTTCTTCTCCCCAAACACTTCCTGATCAAGAGGAAGATGGGAGTGTGGTGCTAGTATCTCTTTCGGGGCCTGCGTGCACAGTCACTTACTGACAAGCTGTTTACCTCTTTGCCATAGCTTTATTTGGGCGAGGAGGTAGTTGCAGGGAAGTAGAGAATGGTATCGCTGTATCAGTTGACTTTTGGTTGATTGATGATGCAGGATGCCCATTACTTCAACAGTAAGGAGATGAGTTGTTCATGTATTATGTTATTGTCTCATATTTGATGTTAAACCAAATCTTGATGTACAGATCCAGTTGTGAGCATTCACTCTTGGAGGTATGGTGACAGCATAGTTTTTATAGTGTGTCTCTTAACACAACTCTGAAGGCTGGGCAAAGTGATCTGTCAGCAAGCAGCTGGACATTCCCTCAAGTGTATGGAGAGCACAGTCATCAACAATCATCCAGTCACCCAGTAGCTGTTGTGATCTGTGTGGGATTCTTAAGCCTTTTCAGATTCCTGAATAGGGTACGTGCTCCTGTGTCATAATCTTTGAGCGTATACAAGAACTAACTGAAGAGTACTTGTGCAAACAGAACTGGAGCCATGACATGGTGCTAATAGTGCCAGGAAAAGCATCTGGTAAGGCGCATTATTCTGTATCGCACTGACCAGATGACCATGATCACCTTTTCAGGACAGCTGTACTGTACATTCATCCTGGGCAACAAACAACATTCAGAGATCCCTATTTGAGAGAGTATTCTTGAATTTTATGCACGACAAAGATCACATTGATTGTTCTTTGTCCAGCGTGAAAGTCCCATTGCGATCCTGAGTTTGCCATCCTCTGGGTAACTGACAAAAACCAAGAAATAACCAACCAGTTCAACTCCTGCAACGCAAGGCTGCAGAGGAATCAAAATACAGCGGTACATAAACTCACAGCTGGCCAAATACAAGTTACACTTGGTCAGATATCCCCACAAGAATAAGCCAACAAGTTGGTCAACAAGTTCCAAAGAACACTTGGGAGTTTCAAACTCCTGAAACTGCTTTTAATCTTTGGCAAGGTTTTTCTTAAATGGGTGGAGGATAGCCAGGTGTTTAAATAGTTAATCTCTGCCACAGACTGTACCTCAGGTGACACTTCAACGTTACAATACAAAGTCTAACCACTAAACCGACTTTTGAGTTCTACACAAATTTTTGACACTACTGAAAGAATTCCATAGATAAGCAAGTTTTCTGCAGTGTAGAATTCAAACTGCCCAAAGACATTGGAGGGGGAGTGGGGGTGGTAGGGTGCACAACCCCAGCACCACCTGCAGCAGTATTCGTGAGTTTGACAGTACACGTGCCTGGAGAATACAAGGATCAGGGTTTATCCTTGGAAGTGGGAGATGGGGTGGGAAAAGATAAAATATCAGCAGAGGTTATTAGGGTGCAAGCCCCAGACAGGTCATGGTGAAGGGCTGGGGAGGGTGAAGCTTGTGCTAAGAGGATAACAGGAGGAATGATGGTACATGGTCCAAGGGCATGGCAAGAACAGAAAGAATCTGAATACACAAGCCAGGAGTGGGGGGCAAACAGTTAATCAGGAAATATCAGGGATATGAATAGGGAACTTGAGGAATCAGAATTTATACCCAATTGGAAGATGAGACATCAGCATTAACAACCCTGTTTTTTTTTGGGGGGTGGGGGGAGCAAATGGGGCTGTCAGAGTAAATACTCCAGGGGCCAGAATCAGTGAATTCCTTCTCAGATTGATAACGAATGCAGTGAGACTTAGCGAGCAGTCCCTTCTCCCTCACCCATACCACACACAGCTTGATAGAGAATCCTACAAAAGGATGGACTGGTGAAAAAAACCAGCACCTCTGATCAAATGCAGACAATGCACTTTTGTTACCGGAAGCAGTGATGGTTAGGATTGGTTCCTGTGCCACCAGGATGGGGTTACTGGAGAATATGCAATGCTATTGCCGATGCACAGCAAGAGAAGAAACTTATTTTCCCATTCAGCACTGCAAAGATTACAGCAAGTGACACTCCTTATTTTGTCCCATTCAAAACTTAATTATTGCCATACCCAATTGAAATGCAGCTCCCACTGCACTGTCCCATTCAGCATTGGTTACACCACGTTTTAGATACTCCAGAGCTCCCACTTCACTGTCCAGAGAAATCAGACAAATATCACAATTAAGATTCTTTGGAAGTTAAGAGGTTCAGCACTTGTATTGCCAGCAGAGGACAAAAGGAGCTCAGAGCAGATTCGAAGACTGAGCTTGCTCATTCCTCCACTTCAGTGTGATTGGTATTCTTCTTAGGAACTCTACTTCCAAGAGTACGATAGAAGTCTCATGTTCATCATGATCAAGAGAATCCTCAGCCACAGAGTAAATATCACACGTAGATTACATTTACAGCATACAGTTGCTTGAATCTAACGCAATGTTTTGGTTGCCACTTCCTCCTCTGCCTGAAGGCAGCAGCCCTCGAGGGTTTTGATTCTACAGCCATTTGTGACAGACATCAATGTGTATAAATGAACAGAGACAGTAAGCGGCAGCAAGATGATAATCACAACTGAGCCCCATCTTGCAGTCAGCTGAAGAGGGAGTCACTAGTGGATAGCAGGACATACAGCTCTAGATGAAGCTGCAGTTGGGAGGAATAAGGACATTTTGATCAAATCAAATGCTAGCTGTATATAGAGCCCGCAATGAATGGTGCAACAATGATTCTGCATTAAAGTGGCAGGCAGGTCTACACTGGGTATTGTAGCACACACATCACAAAGGCCATGTACTGACTACAAGTTTGACTTGACAAAGGAACCAAAATAGAAGTGAATCCACATAAAAACAAAACCAGATGTGCAAGACAGCTACATTCTGCCACTGGACAAGTGTCAGAGACAGATCAAAATTTTCTAAGTTATGTTCGGAAAAGTTACAATGGCACATCAGCATTAAAACTCTGTATTTAGTCATGTCGAAACACTACTTTTTGGGCTCCCATTGTCTGATTAAAAATGACGTGAATTACAATGCAACTTTCAAATGACATGGGACAAGATTAATTTAGGGTATCTGGTCAGCATGGACGAGTTGGGCCAGAGGGTCTGTTTCCAAGCTGTATAACTCTACGAAGCTAGGCTGTTGAAAAGCTCAAACTACAGGGAGTAAAGCTAGAAGAGGTAGTATGACAAAAGACTGCTGGATCTTAAGAATTTGTAATATCTCAGCTTAGTCATTCACAATCCAATTGAACCTAAATGAAAATCACCAAGGCTGACAGTTGAACCTTCTTTTACAGGAACCTAAATGTGATAACTGTGCTTGAGGTAAGGCCTTCAGGCTTTGCAAAAATTGTTATCGCAATCACTGGAGTTTTGCTGCAGAGTTAGTGAAAACAATCCAGCCAAATGTGTTTTCAAATTTATCCTCAAGCCTGAAATTTTGATTAAGAAAAGTGAACGACAAAGAACTAGATGGGCTCCAATGCCTCATGTTTCAATGACAGAAAAGGAGTCAGATGCAGATGCAGAAAGCAATTTGCTAAAGGCAATGGAGCAGCTTTCAAACTATGCATCCTCCGTCTGCTCTGCAAGTGAGTTCACCAGACAATGAAATACTCTTACCTGGCCACGTGAAGACTTCAGTCAGGAAAATATGTGCAGCATACTATGTTGTACTATATTATTTGATCAAATAGTTAAAACAAACCTCAGCAATTTCACCTCTAGCTTTAGATTGTGGCACAGTACAGTGACATCGAGTGATAACAGATCAACTGGGCTTAAGTTCTTGAAAATAAAAGTCAGAGTATCTACTGTCCAGGCAGAAGTCTAAGAACAGTTTGAAGATTCTTGTCCTGATAAACCGGTTATACAGGAAGTCCAAAATCAAAGAAAGTAAATCGGGATTAAATTCTGCATTAGGAATTGAATTAGAACTAGTTCACCTGTTGCTGAATTATTTGCTGCAAATCCTAATTAGAAAACTAAATAAATACATTTTATAGAGGTAAGGGCAGTAAGTTCCAAAAGCACCTCCAATTTGGTTGTAGTGTGAATTTTTCGTGACCATGATTTTATGAAAATGGTCAATAAGCAATAAAACATATAAAAATAAAGTTATGTTGCATCAGTCTATCTCGACTGCTGATGTCCCAGATTCAAGTGATCAGTTTACAAGTTTGATAATAATTAAGAGGAAAAGGGGGACAACGCTAGGATGGTGACTGGTGTCAGTTAACAGATCCTGGGTCAGTAATGGGCATAGTGTGCAGGACCTCATCCAGAAGCTGCAGTGCCCGGTGCAGATGGACCTCTATCCAGCAGGGGGTATGTTTGATGCTCTGCCGTGGATAATCTGGTCCCCAGCCCTTTACAAAGCTCAGTCGGAGGATGCAAAGACGCCTCAGGTCATCAACGCCTATCCCTGCAGCTGCAGAAAGACCTGAAATAACAGAGACACTTTAGCAATTCAGGGTGATGACAAGAGTGGAAGATAAAGTATTAAAGCCACAAATGACCCACAACATTAGGCGATAGAGTATAACATGCTGGTGTTACATGAAGGATGATACGACCTGGCTATGAGATCGTAACATAATAATCTGATCTTGCTAAAGATGCTTGCAAAAGTAATTCACTCAAAAAATGAACTCAGACAACTTGACTCTCAGTCAGAGAACTGCAAATAAATAAAATGTCATATGGACAACAAACAACCTCCTATTAACGTTGAGATAGTAAGAATTGCTGATGCTGGTATCAGAGATGACACAGTGTGGAGCTGGAGGAACACAGTAGGCCAGGCAGAAT